AAAATCCAAAAAATATGAGTTTTATTTCAATGAATACTAGAGAAAATTTAAATATCATCATATTTTTAAAATACACATTAAATATTATGAATAGTGTAATCTTCTGGTTTTTGTGTATTTTTCATCAGCTTCAAAAAATACATTATTATCTAAAGCTGACTTGTTATTAAACATGATAGCTAGTGTCATTGATAATAATTAATATGTACTAAAATTGTTTAATGTCACAATAACTTTTCTTAAATTGGTAGTTTTTGTATAAAATAATACTGGAAAAATCAATGATAATAATCATAGTCTTATGTAGAGAGTGGAAGATTTAGATCACTTATTTAGTTCTAGTTTCATCCAATTTTAATTAATAATAAGTATAATACTGTATAATATTTGATATTTCGTTAAAATCAAAATATTAAATATTGTAAATCTGAAACCCAATTTGGTAATTGTTCAGTTACAGCATTAAGTGGACTGCAGTCTTGTATTTACGGAACTAACTCGATTGCCAGACGGGAATTGAAGACGGAAATAATTTTAACAATTTTAGCTTGTTGTAAGCTTTCATTCTGCGAGCGTTAATATAATTTATTTGAAGAAAGTTTTTAAATATAAGAACGAGAACTCTTTAATTGTAATTATTAAAATTACAAAGTTATAAGGAATACATTTAAATAGTTATTTTTTATCAGAATTATGATTCGTGCTCTAGAATATTTTAGATTTTTGGACTTTTATTACTACATAAGAGGAAAGAATGCTGAATTGAAAATTATCAATTTTCAAGGAAATAAAAAACGTACCCAAAAAGCAACTTGATCTTTAACAAATTAATTTTTTTTTATAAATTAGTTTTACGGGTAATATTGAAATACATAATATATCACTTTTTTTATTTTTAACACTTTATTTAATATTAAAATAAAGGTGCCGCATAAAAAATGCTTATTTGTGAAAACGATTGAATTGAATGTTTTCCTCCTTTTTAAAATAAGTGCCCCCAATAATCAGGTGTTCCTAATAAATGTATTGCGGCAAAGCTTAAGTAATTCTTTTAATTTCGTTCTTCTAAATTAAACATATTCTAGTACTCTCATGTGGATAATACTGACAAATAGTACCGCTCTGTTCTTTTTCTAATGTGAGACATAGAAAAAATTAGGTATCATATTATATCTTCCTCCACCTTTCATATACAGGGTGACTGGTGAATTACTATCAATATTTAAGGAGCATACTCGGTACATGATTCTCATTCGAATTATGTAAAAAAAATAGGTACTTAATTTTTGACCAAATTTCCGTATAAATAAATAAAGTGTTGACACGTTCCAAGTGTTCCAAGTGTGAACGCGTGCGGCGGCGTGCTGATACAACAACACGCCGCCGCGCGCGAGTGTGTGTGAGTGTGTGTATACCTAATCTGTAGGGTGTTCATACGATGCGTAATTAATTACATAACTTTTGGTTAACTTTACTTAGAAGTTTATTAATATTTATGTTATATTAATTTTTATTTTGTCATATATGATCGTCAAATATCACGTCCTCAAATATCGATAGTAATTCACCAGTCACCCTGTATTGAAATAATTTATTTTTTTATTCAAAAGTTCTTTTAAAGAAACCGCACAATAATAATTAAAAAAAATTAAAAAAATTGTTTCTTTCAATTATAAGAAATAACAGGTTTTCCTTAACAATGAAATTTCAGAACATAAAAATAAATAACACTTGATTATTAAGTATTATATTTCATATAATTGATATTGTTTTAAAGTTGTGAATTGAAAAAGTAGAACTTATGAAATTCTACAGCTTAATGTACCAAAGAGCTGAAGAATATTGAAACATGATTTAAAACCAGGTCCATTGGCAGCCTTTGGAGGCGACCCATGTTCGTCGGCAGATAGCCCATACAACTGTTAGAGCTACGTTGTTTTCCAGATGGTCGTACTTGCCGTACATTCATTACTACAAATGCGTGATCATAAGATAACATTTTTCTGGCAATCTGACTCTTGGAATATTTTACAAGCTTTCATTTGATTATATAAAGGACGCCAGATAAATATACTCTAAAATAACCGACAAATAAATTTAAATAGTAATGTATAAGAATACCAAGAACCAAGAGATATCACAGAATTTTGCAAGCGTCGTCTGATAATACAGCCGTTTTCATTCTAAACTACCACGTAGAATTTACAAACAACATCTACTAAGTATGTTTTACTAAACTATATCTTTCTCATATTCTTGTTTTAAAGGAAATAATTTTTATTTCAATTTTTTTTACATCTTCTTTCTAGCATAAACATAGAAAATGGGTGCAATTTAGCACCACTGTTTACTTTAATTTATAGTTTATAGCGTAGTCGCTGTAATGGGGATTGAAAATAAAATTAAGGACTATTAGATGGTACCGCATAGCCGTATTTAATAGTGTAGTTTGATTGTGGACTAATTTGACGGGGACAGCACCACCCTAGTACAGAATATTTATGCTATGAGTGAGAGTTCTAGAAGTACCTACATATCTCCGTTTTTCTTTAATTCAATTCCATAATTGTTACTAAAATAATTAAGACAAGAACACAAGATGAACAGGATTTTTAAATATTCCTGGACGCTAATAGCCGCATCGTGGATTGATGCTATTTACCATAAAACAAAGCGAAAATCGTTGTCCCGAGATTAGTACGTCGGTTATTACTTATTAAGTTTGCCAATATACACAGTATCGAACATAATCAATTTCAAATTAGGTACGTTGTTTAGAACAAATACAGAAACTAATTCAGGGAAAATAAATTTAAATTACAGCTATTACATATGAAGTGGAAATTAAAACAAAACTAATCCTTGTAAGTAGGTACATGGTAATAAAATTATCGTTTTATTAATTTGTTATTTTAAACATTTTTGCCATAACTTTTATTAATAAATAGAACTTCTAATCTCGTTCTATATATGATATATTTTTTTCTTTTTTACCAACATTTCATAAACCGCATATCACGAATTAATTATTATTATTTTTTTGTAACAGCTATATATTTTTAATTTAAAATACATTGCAATTAATCTGTATTATCTGGTTTTCTTTGAATAACGCTCTCTCGAACAAATCTCTGTGTAGTGATAAGCCCGCCTTATTGTACCTGCATTAACATTATATCTCGTCTGTATTATAATTTGGTTTTTAATGTATAGCAAACATATTAAATAGATAGCTCCCGCATTCTGATCCATTTTTAAATTCCTAGTATTAAAAAAATATTTATATATTAAAAAAATAGATATAAGAGCAAAAATATTGTATTATTTGATAATGAAAACTACTTTTCATATTCAATCCATATTTTTTTAACCCTAATTAAAAAAGTCTGTTGTATGTATATATACACACTTATATTAATCTGTGGAAATTCGGATTAATAACAAAATTACTTTAACAAATTCATATTATAAGCAAACTAGAACCATCTAGCGGCAAACGGTCAAACTTTTACAAAAGACCTCCAAACAAGGCTATCTCTTATTATGATAGCGCTGTGTTCGCATTTTTAATCGTAAAAAGTTCCAAAACAACTTTTAGTTAGACATCGTTACTCATTAATTTAATGAAATATTTTGAAAAACATCAGTATCTTGCAATATGTCTTGCATTCATGTCAGTGTCTTATACAAAAGTGTCAGATGCTGCAATTTTATATTTCTAAATAATAAAAAACTTTCACTTCAAATAATATATTATAAAGTGATTTTTAAACTCTTGTATTAAAAATTGGGACCTCAAAATTTCTAACCTTAACCCGGTTGCCACAAAGCGCACCTTCGTCAAGCCTCGCACAAAATAAACTCCGAGAACATCAGCGTAAAACTAGTTCCGACCGGCTCTATGTGGTTCAAACTGGTTTATACCGCCTCTAGAACGCGAGCGAAGATTACAACGTTGAAACTTGTGAGCTTATTAAACATCTATATCGAAAATGTAAATTAGCTAGCAAATTGCGCTTTCCTAACGACCTAGGACCTGTACGTCGCACTCGAGAAAATCTTACGTTAGAAGACTCATCAGAATATCCCTCTAACAATCTTAACGCTTTGCGCACTCACTAACGTCTCAACTTACACAAGGAGAAACCTGTATTATCTGCTACTAATGACGAGTATTCTGTACAGCCGTTCTTATTATAATTAAACCCCAAAACCCATTGTGATTATATTTTATAATATGTATGTATGTATGTGTGTGTGTTATTATTATAATTCTGTAAGTCTTCTAAACATGGTGTTTCAAAGTAAATGACGCTTTTATTATCATGTTACTTACAACATATTAAAAATAATGTACTCATTTTATAAAATAAATAAATAAATAGTTAAATTAAACCTTTTATGGTCATCTATGAGAAAGTAAGTAAATTTTTCATTAAGCTTGTTGAGCTGACGCTTGGAGCAATCGAATTAGACAAGAGTTGTTAGCCGAGGGAGCCGTTATGCCATCTCGGTCACACTTTATACGCTCTTTAGCTAGTTGCTAACATGGTTAGCGAGTTTACGGGACAACATGATTCCTCACAGCGTCGGCTAAATACGAACAATGCACGAATCCAGTGACCCAAATTTGACATTTCAGCGCACACAATACGGCGGAATCTCGCACGGCTGATTTTACCAAAAGTTTCAGTATTGCGTTTTGGTGTACTGAAGCATTGGTAATGGAACTTTCGTGATAGTATCTCGTAGTATTAAGTTGGCAAGTTTTGAATATGAGGTAGGATGGACGGCTAAGTGAATTGACTATGTCGCATTGCAATTTTTATAAGAAAATACAACAAAACAATAATGAACGGGACTGTATGAACAATAATTTTATGCTTATCTTCTTTTAGAGAATAAGTTAACATCATAATTTCTAAGGTGCTTGAATTTATTTTAATTGAATATTCTTCTAACGATCGTAAGTATGATCGATATAAATCATATTTCGCTCTATGACGTACGTATCTGTCGGACAAGACATATTCATCAAGTGCAATTCACTGAGCCGGCAGGACAATATGACCATCAATCTTTTCAACAATGGCACATCGTTGTACCTAACCGATAGCGACATCAGCTGTTCTTTAAGTACAAAAGCTTGTAAGATGAAAACATTGTCAGATGGATACAATAGGTATTTATGATTTGGTTATAGAATGAATAGAAATCTTTGACTATTAGATATATTATGTGAAACACTGAGATCGTCTCATGTTGATCCGTCTCTCTACATGTTGTAACATAACTACTAAACATAAATATAATATTACAGTGACCTACCACACCGTTTACTTTATTCACAATATATTATATATTAAGGATTCTAATAAAATTCTTATAAAAATATAGTTTTCTTATAAAGCCAGGACTTTTAAATATCAATAAAACCTTAACTAGAGTAAACTAATTATTATCTTAAGCCAAAAGACCTTAAATTAGTTAAATTCTATTAACAACAATACAAGTCGTGTTCACAACATACTTTCGCGCGTTAAAAGAGGACAAGTCAAGCGTCATAGCTTTAATATCGCTTCGGATGCGTTCGGGAATTTAAAGGTTCGGTTCAAATAAAAAGTGTGTTTCCTAAATCGGCCAATCCTGACGCAGCGTCGTCCTCGGCGCGCTCCTCGGCAAGGCCAGTTGACAGTGAAGCAACTGCAGCCGGAGGACCGCTCAAGCAGCCGAAGCAGCCGGAGGTCTGCCGAAGCAGCCGGAGGACTGCTGAAGCAGCCGGAGGACTGCTGAAGCAGCCGGAAGACCGCCGAAGCAGCCGGAAGACCGCCCAAGCAGCCGGAAGACCGCCGAAGCAGCCGGAAGACCGCCCAAGCAGCCGGAGGTCTGCCAAAGCAGTCGGAGGACTGCCAAAGCAGTCGGAGGACTGCCAAAACAGTCGGAGGACTGCCAAAACAGTCGGAGGACTGCCAAAGCAGTCGGAGGACTGCCAAAGCAGCTGAAGGGTCGCGACTGAAGCTGAAGGGTCGCAACTGCAGTTGAAGGGTCGCGTCTGCAGCTGAAGGGTCTCGGCTGCAGCTGAAGGGTTGCCACTATATCCAGCTGTATCGGTACTTGGTCGAAATGACAATGATGATGAATCAATCTAATCATTTACTTCATCTGAAATCTGAATAGTTACTTGCAAGAGATTGTGATAATCTCATTGAAGACACATAAAGACACACAAAGTAATGTAACGTGTGAAAAATAAAATGAAAATAGTCTGTGAGGGCCCTCTAAATTAAAGTTCCTGTTTACACCACTGTTCGTAGCGAGGTTCCGTTGTGACGCAAACCAGGCCTGCATCTGTAATCAAACCAGACAGAAGGCGTCCCAACTGTCTGCGGTTGACGAAAGCAATAGTGCATCGCGCGTCAACACTTCAATAATATGATATTTTAAGGATGATATGAAAATGATAACTATGGACAGCAGCATCACTGACTCGCTTGTCCAATATGCGATCATCTCGCTTATGATATGAAAATGATAACCATGGACGGAAGCATCACTGACTCGCCAGTCCAATATATGATTATGTATGTGGTTTATGATATGGAAATGAATATAAACATGAAAATGATTATGTGGTTCATGATATGGAAATGAATATGAACATGAGAATGATTATGTGGTTTGTGATATGGAAATGAATATGAACATGAAAATGATTATGTGGTTCATGATATGAAAATGAATATGAAAATGGTTACCATGGACAGAAGCATCATTGAAGCGGTAGTCCAATACATGATTATGTGGATTATGATATGGAAATGAATATGAAAATGATTATGTGGTTCATGATATGAAAATGAATATGAAAATGATTACCATGGACATAAGCATCACTCAATCGCTAGTCCAATACATGATTATGTGTCAAAGCCAGTCACCAGCTTGTTCTATGTAACCAGGTTTCACTCCCAAGAACTGCGCATGATTCCAAACACCTCTATCGGTTCACAGGTAACCATGGACTCGGCCACCGCTTGTGTAGTTTCCCCACACGAACCGCTGATGAGGTCAAACTGGTAGTAACCACCGGATAGGACTCGAACTACGCCAGGGGTCCACGTATACTAGGTTTTGGGCTGCCTTTGAATTGCGAATTTCTAATCAAGAAAATTAAATAATTAAAATTGTGAGAACGCTGTCTCCGCCTCTGACAATTTACGTAAGCCTTGTTTGACTTGATGTATCAGCAGCCGGTGAGCTCCCTGATAATACACACGTACACACAGTGACGGTTCAATAGACAAGGGAAACAAGGTTACACAAACACATAAGTCACTATAGATGGCGATAGTCACATATATTTACGGATAGTTATTATAATACTAACGCCTCTGCTTAACAAAATGATAAAAAGTTTGAAATAGCTAGTATACCAAGTTGTTAATTAAAATATTTATGCTTTAAAGAACCTAAACTTTTTGTTAAAATTTCAGCTGGCATTTTAGCAGTTTATAAATAATCAATTTTAACAAATTTATCTGCTACTGCCTGTCTGACAAAATGGTATCTGACATCTATATGTTCCTATGGCTTACTGGATTCAAAACAAGTCTTATGCCCTTTGACAATCTTTGTAAAAAGTAATTGTTTCTGGATTACTTTTAATTACAAAATTAAATAGCCTTCAATTTCAAAATCAAATAGTCTTTTTAATTAAATAACCTCCTTACTGGCTTCTCACATGGAAATATTATCTGCTTGTGTTCAAGACAAAGCTATATTTCTGTGTTTTCTTCTTTCAAAAGAAATTACTCTACCAGACAACTTAAAATCCAGAAAAAGATTTTCTATCATTTGAATCTGAACCCTAATCTGCATCACCACATCCTTGTATATAAGAATTATCCTTTAATAAAAACAAAGCAAAACATTTTAGTAACTTTTAAGTAATTCAAAATTGTTTTAAGTGTTTTCAATGAGTTCCATCATATGAGTTATTAAACTGACTCAAATAACATACACTGTAAGCTAAGTCTGGTCTGGTCAAGACAGCTAAATACATAAAATTACCTATCAGTTGTCTATATGGAATTTTCTTATCACAAGAACTGTTCTTAGATTTTTCTATCCTTACATTAATCTCTATAGGAGTTTCAACAGTTTTACAATAAAAAAACATATTAAATCATTTCAGAAAGCCATCCACATATTGTTCTTGATTAACAGTTATAACATTTCATACATATTTATTATTTACTCTTTAACCTAAACATTGCTTTATTTGACCTAGATCTTTTATTTTATATTTACTGCTTAAATCTTGTATTGACTGATTAGTAGCCATTTTATATTTAAAGAATACAAACAAAGCTATTATAACTAAACACTTAAACATATTTTTTTTTAAGCTTTGTAAATAAACAAGGTTTATACTTAGATTTTAAATGACCTAAAGACCTTAAATGATCACTGACTCTCTCATACCATGCATGCAAGGACTGCTCAAGTCCATAAATGACATGTTTAAACCTTGTTACCATCATTATTATCATCCTCATACAATACAAGATTTTTCATATACACATAATCAATTAGGAAAGCTCTTGTAATACAGATGGTGTAAATCTAAACCTAATTTTACAGTTAAAGAAAATAAAAATCTTAGAGTAGAATAATATAGTACAGGGAAAAGTCTCATGATAGCCTACGCTGGCTTTCTGTGAAAACTTGCCACTAATCTTGCATGGTAACGGACATTACCAACATTATCAGACTTTATTTTTAAACACCCATTTGTACTGAGTTACCGTAGAATCACAAGAGTTATCCACAAGTTCTCACACATCATTTATCTTAAACAACTCTAATTCTACTTCCATACTTACTCTCAGTTTCATTTAAAGCTCTCTGTGTGTAATATCCATTATATTCTGATCATCTGATTCTACAATACATATATTTGTAGGTGAATCTATCAGATACTTTTTTCAATTGTAATAAAAATTAAAATAAAATTGTTTGTCCAAAGGGAAACTCCAGACTCAAGTCTACTAATGATTTGATGATGATAATAATAGTCTGGTTTTGATGCTGTATCAGAAACACTCTGATATGAATCACTTACTAAAGAATCTTATGGAATATGTGACATTACTACCATTACATTCAGTATTTATGCTATCTGCATTACCATTTTCTTCTTTTTCACTTTGTTCCCCGTTGAAACCTTACACTCAATAGTAATATTAACTGTATTTTTGGTTGGTTACATTATAAGGATGTCTCTACTAGTTTTAACTGAGTTGTTTTCAGGATTTTAAACCCTATAGCTTTTTAAATTCACTTCAAAGCCTATCAAAATAAGTTCCTTATCTTTTATATCCAATTTCTAATATTTTTCTTTATACCTGACAACTTGCATTAAGTATTTTGTGTATTGTTAAATAAATATTGCTACTGAATTCGGTAAGTAAAGTAGAAAACTAGAAAAATTCGAAAATTCACCCACAGTCAGACACTATGAAGCCAAAGAGTGAGACTATATTGGTAAACATGAACTTAACCACCCTTATAATGGTTACCATTTATGAATTAATAAATAAAACTTACCGAATGCGTGTACTATTAATAAAACAAAATTTGTACCTGTTAGGCTCATGCCTTAATTTGAATTGCTTGTTCGTTTTGTTTTAATCTCCCAGTGAAAGAGTATACAAACCAACAGTTTCGTTATTTTGGACTTCACTGTTTAGTCGCTTTACTTGAGGTAGCGTTAAACTTCTAATATACTGAAACGTAATATGGTGCCTGAAAAAGAATGTGTCCTACTTCTCGATCGTGATCTAAACTTATATTCTTAGATCGAGTTCTGTTCCAATTTTCCAAAACCAACGGTGGTTGTCTTGTCGACGCCACGTGTATCGAGACTAATGTTATCTATCAATCTTATTCACTCGCAAGTAATTGTTAAAGTAGATTTGAAAACACATATTTTATCTTATTTATTACTTTTTATGTACTTAATCAAAAACGTATTACATAAATATAACTATGAACGTGAATGCTATCCCACTTCTGAATTAAGGATTCTAATAAAATTCTTATAAAAATATAGTTTTCTTATAAAGCCAGGACTTTTAAATATCAATAAAACCTTAACTAGAGTAAACTAATTATTATCTTAAGCCAAAAGACCTTAAATTAGTTAAATTCTATTAACAACAATACAAGTCGTGTTCACAACATACTTTCGCGCGTTAAAAGAGGACAAGTCAAGCGTCATAGCTTTAATATCGCTTCGGATGCGTTCGGGAATTTAAAGGTTCGGTTCAAATAAAAAGTGTGTTTCCTAAATATATATATATTCAATATTAGTTTTAACTATTCGTAGAAATACTCTAATTCTAAATATTTGTGAGAGCCAAATAGAAAGTTATAACAATTAAATCACTAGGAAATTACTACGAGTATATGGATATTAAATGAACAAAAGGAAATTAATTCAAATTATGCTACTTCAACAAAGGAAGTTATACTTCAATATAAGAATCATCAAAATGTACTTTGAAATGGAAAATATTGTAAAAGAATAGTTGTAATACATAGTCTAGTAAAAGACAATATTAAAGTTGATCTGGAAATATTTTAATGAAAAATAAGGTATGTATTTTTTCCGTACGTTCCGTATGGTATTTTTTCCGGGTTCGAAATTGTTATAGTTTTTATATTGCAATCATTTCAAGTCACGTTATTTAATATTTACAATAGTCTTAGTGGTAAAATATTTGTTAGCTGCTTGTTGGAAAAAACATAAACAAAAATCTATCTCATATTACAAATACATTACTTGTATTTGATTAATGTAACTTGTTAAACTTTTTGTGGACAAATCCTAGCTCACTTAATTCACCTCCTCTGTGTCCATTAATGAAACACCTTTTTTTCCCAAACTGATTTACCAGACAACATGAGTCAACCTTTTTCAGTTCAGTATGTGATACAA